CCTTCTGTTAGATGCCAGCTCTGAGAGAATGGGGGGCTGGGTCTGGTTTGATGCTGCTGTATCCCGAGGGGCTAGAACAGTGCCTGGCACGTAGCCGGCACTCAATAGATATTTGTTGGCTGCATGAACTCACTGGGATTTTCATGGCTTTGCTGTGTGACCTCGGGCAGCCAAATGCATGTCTCTGGGCCTCCGGTCTGTTGGACTCACTGGCCTTCCTGTTTGGACAGTCTTGGGTTCTGTTCCTTCATCCTGGCTCCTGAGATTTCTTCCCCCCACCCACCCCCCCAGAATATCCACTAAAAGGAGAGCTGGTCCAGGCCTGGCTTGATATTCTTCTCCCAGGCTTGTCTTCTCTGTGCAAGATGTTCAAGCCCGTGCCAGCCCTTTTGTATTTCTGTTAGGGGCTTTGAGCAGATACACTTGAGTGTGTGACTTTCTGCATGCGTTGGGGAACCTGGCTGAGATGGGACTGTCCAGCAAAATGTCATCACAGGTCCTAATTCTGTCTTTCTGCCGCTTTGGTTTGCAGTGGAGCAAAAAGTAGACATTTCCAAAGGCATGGCAGACCCTTCTCTAATGAACTGATGGGAACAGGCCCTGCTCTGGAGGTGCCAGGTGCCTGTCCCCATACCTGTAACAGGCTGTTCCCGCTTCCTCGGGAGCCAGCTGTGAGAGAGAAACCCACAGCAGAACTGCCCACCTTCCAACAAGGGAAGCCTGCAGGAGAACTGTACAGGCTTCCGTGGGGGTGCCAAGCCCGTCTTTAGATCTCATCTGTTTCTGATGGGAAATGGGTCCAACCTTACCCAGGTTTCTAGAACAGTCCCTAACAGGGAGTGGGAGTTTATCAGCATGTTCATATGCTATCTCATTTAATGACATGATCTCTTCTTTTGTGGTGCATCCCCAGGACCTAGCTCAGTACCTGGCAGCTGGTAGGTATCACTACATTTTTGTTTTTTTTGAGACAGAGTCTCATTCTGTTGCCCAGACTAGAGTGCAGTGGTGTCAGCCTAGCTCACAGCAACCTCCAACTCCTGGGCTCAAGCAATCCTCCTGCCTCAGCCTCCCAAGTAGCTGGGACTACAGGCATGCGCCACCATGCCTGGCTAATTTTTTCTATATATATATTTTAGTTAGCCAATTAATTTGTTTCTATTTTTAGTAGAGACAGGGTCTCACTCTTGCTCAGGCTGGTTTCGAGCTCCTGACCTTGAGTGACCCTCCCACCTCGGCCTCCCAGAGTGCTAGGATTACAGGCGTGAGCCACCACACCTGGCTGCTATCACTACGTTTTTGTTGGAAGGGTTAATTTTCATAAGTAATGAGAGGCAGGCCATTTGTGTGTGTGTGTGTGTGTGTGTGTGTGTGTGTGTGTGTGTGTGTGTGTATATTTAGAGACAAGATCTCACTCTATTGCCCAGGCTGCTACGCAGTGACCCAATCGTAGCTCACTGCAGTCTCCAACTCCTGGGCTCAAGCGATCCTCCTGCCTCAGCCTCTGGGGTAGCTGCGACTTCAGGTGTGAGCAGGAGAGCCAGGCAATATTGTCATCCTATGGATGATGAAACAGAGGCTCAGTGGTAACATGACTTGCCCAAGGCCACACAGCCAGCACATGAACCCACTCAGGCAGCTCGCCCAGAGGTACGAGGGAAGGAGAGAAAGAACTCCCTCCCAATTGCAACGACACTTTGGGAAAACAAACTTTACTTTTGAAAATGGGAAGGCCTAAGAGAGCTTGGGCATTGGAAGTCAGAGAAACTTGGGTTCAAAGCCCAGTACTGTACCTGTGCATTTGGACAAGTTCTAAAGACCACAGGGGTCTTGTTTTTCCCCTCTGTAAAATGGACACACCAATCCCTACCACACAAAGCCTCTGGGAGTGTACAGTGAGATAATGCAGTTCAACACCTGCCACTGGGTGGTGCTTAATACACTCCAGCCCCACCCTGACATTTTCTGTGATCTCCCTACTCCTACCACGGCTGCTGCCTCCTGCCCTCAGGCAGGCCAGGGTGTTGCAGCCATAGCATCTGGCAGGGGCGGAGACATCCCAGTGAATTGTCACCCTGCGCATGCGCAGCACCACAAGTCATGCGGGCCTGGTGCTAGGCAAATTCACAGGTGCGAAGCCCAGGGAACAGGTTGCCCTGTGTCTGGATACTTATGTTTTCACCTCGGCTGGAGCTCTGGGTCCAGGAGCACTTGAGTGTGCACTTGAGGTTAGAAGAGAGAATGCAAAGACCTTCTGGAAGCTCAAATGAGGGTTTTGACCTTTCCATGTTTGGGGGAGGTTTTGCCAGGCCCTGGGACCAGGGGAGACCCAGCCAGGGCAATGGCCACCATCGGGCGGGACTGCCCCTTCCTCATTCCTTCAGTCCCAAGGCAAGGAAGAGTACAAGCGCTCAGCCCTTCTCTGGTGTTCAGTGAGGATGCAGCGACATGGGCCCAGCTGGGGAGACAGACATCCCCTGGGAAGTGTAAACTGAGCCAAAAGCGGAGGGATGAGTCTGAGCGAGTCTAGGGGAGAGAGGAGAGGAGGAGGTTGCTGCAGACAGACCAGGGAACAGCCAGCGCAAAGGACTTCAAGAAGAAAGAAGCCGGGGTGGTGGAGAGGACCAGTGGTTGCAGGAATGGTGGCTCTGTGAAAAACTTTGGACATGGTCCTGGGAGCAGTGGGAAGCCACCGAAGCCGGGAGAGAATGTAATCTTTATAGTCCTGCACTGAATCATTTTGCTTTCCTTTCTCATTTTTTTTTCTTTTTTTTTTGAGACAGAGGCTCGCTCTGTTGCCCGAGCTAGAGTGCCGTGGCGTCAGCCTAGCTCACAGCAACCTCAAACTCCTGGGCTCAAGTGATCCTCCTGCCTCAGCCTCCTGAATAGCTGGGACTACAGGCATGCGCCACAATGCCCGGCTAATTTTTTCTATATATATATATTTTTAGTTGGCTAATTAATTTCTTTCTATTTTTAGTAGAGACGGGGTCTCGGTCTTGCTCAGGCTGGTTTTGAACTCCTGACCTTGAGCAATCTGCCCGCACCGGCCTCCCAGAGTGCTAGGATTACAGGCGTGAGCCACCATGTGCGGCCTCCTTTCTCATTTAAAAAACTGGATTTTGAATTCCACACTTGCCATACTATTTTTTTTTTTTTTAATTTTCAGAAGTAGAAAATAAGAGGACAATGGAATATGTGTTTATTTTCAGGGTTAAGTGTGCTAACAGATGCAAATTGCAAAGCATTCTATAGGTGGTCTATAAATGATGTAATTCCCTTATCTTTCCTCTAAATTCCATTCCACAATTTCTGCCTTTCTGGGAGCACAGAAGGGGACCGATGCTCCCCACAGACTAAACATAAATTTCATTTGAAGTACCTGGCTGGATGAGAAATCCGATTGGTTCAAAAGATCAAAGGCTGATTATTTTACAAATTATTATTCAAATAGCAAGAGCCCCATGATCATACAACATATCATTTGATTTATGGAAATGCAGTTTGGATTCAATTTTTAAGAAGCACATTTATTTCATAACACAAGACCGAGTTTCACAAAGTCAGGGCCCCTGACTGTGGTGTTCCTTACTATAAGATCACCTTGTTGGCGACAGAGTAGACTTTCAAATATTTGTGGGATTGATTTAAATACTGGAATATGTTTTCGGCTAAATCTCAAGGCAGGGACATCAGTTCTGAAGTTCTCTCTTTATAGTTGTTAACATGAATTTTGATGGCATGAAAAAGCTTGTTCTCTGGATTATATTTAGCTCATACAAACTCTGCCGCACAATTATGTTGCAAAGAGGAATTAGGTTTTATCTTTAAGTTGTTATTATAGTCTTTGGGAAAGGTGAACACAGAGGATAACTATATATAAAGTGGTACATGTCGTATTGTTAATTTTGCTGCTTTTTCTTTTTTTTTTTTTTAATGTGGCGTATGTAGATCCTAGAACAGACTGTCACGTGTGGTAGGTGTATCAGGCAGGGTCTGTGTAAGAAACAGATGGCACACGCAGATAATTAGAGGAGAATTTAATAAAGGGACTATTTACAAGGTTTGAGCAGGGTGTAGGGAAACCATAAGGGACAATGCAGAACCCATGGGGCCTTTTATCCTCCTAGATCTGAAGGTTGAGGGGAGGGAGAAAGGACAGAACCCAGAAAGAGAGCTGTGTGGAGAAGGCTGCCTTGAGAAAGAGGGGGGTGACCTTTTATCAAAAGACACAACCACCCTAAGGCAATCTGGCAGGGAGGGACACCAGGAGAATAAATACTTCAACCAAGCTGTCCTCCTGCCCTCCAATCTCCTGCTGCTGCCTCCCATTGGCTCTGCCCAATTGGGAGCTGGAGGGCGAGGGAGTGAGCCGATGTCACCCATGTAGGTCAGCACTCCAGGGCCAAGGGCAGGATGCAAAAGGGTGGAAAAGTGGATCGGAAGGGGCAAATGGAAACTATCTGGTACAGTAGCTTTATTTGCATGTCGAATACAGACTTGATATTTGAATCTTGATCTCTTATCTTAGTGAGGCAGTGAAACCTTTAGGAGCCATGGCAGCAGGGGTCTCATTCATTCATTCTTCTCATCTACTGAGTACACTAGAAAAAAGTACTGTGCTGGGCATTTGAGAGCAGCCCGGCAACGACACAGATATCTGGGAAAATGCAACGCATTCTCTCCTTCCTGATGCATGTTATTTTTAAGAAAATACCCCACTCTATCACAGCACTTGTTGAGGGCTCTGAATAGTAAATGTGACCCCACTGGTCTCAAAGTTAGATGCTGCTTCCCCAAAAGCAAGAGAGTTCAAAGTGCACAGGTTCTAAATCTGTGGCTGTCAGCTGGCAGTTAAGTTCCTTGCCATGTTGGTACCCTTTAGGTAGTAGCTGGGTAGTCCTTTTTTCAGGCACAGGGACCAGAATAGGATGTGTCAGTGCAACTCTGGAAATTGCACTTGCTCTTATGAATGGAGTGGATTGTGGTCTCACGTTTTCTGAATCTGTGAAATCATTCCCCTCTTTAATGAGGTCCTCTTGGAAGAGGAGGGAACGGATCTCCTTTAGCGACATGACTTTGACAAGCAAATCAATTCATTCCATTTGTTTCCTCTTTGAAAACAGCAATCCGCGAGCGTTACATAATCTAATCTTCATGCCTCACTGGTTTGTTCTGTCCTCCTGAGGAATTGGCAGATGGTGCCAATGCGGAGACCCGCGCACACGCCTCGCCAGCTCATGGTAACAGGAGAGTTGCTCGCAGTGTCTGTCTCTTTGCTGTGGGGTCCCTCACTGGCATTTGTTTCCCTGGATCAGTTTGCTCTTTAGCATTCCTCAGGCACCACTGGCTTCTTGCCTTCGGCTCTCATCCCAAGATTAATTGGAGATGCTGAAAGCAGAAAAAAAAAAGAGAGAGAGAGAGAGAACAGAAAGTGAAGTTGAAAGGGCAGGGAATTTGCTAGAATATTTTTCCTAAAAGCCCTCCTCCGTTAAAAGCTGAGTGTCTTTGAGAGTTTAGCTCCAGAGCTTTTGACTTCCTCATTCAGCCTGGTGCCCCTGTACGTACGTCTTTGTTGCTGGGTTACACAGAGCACAGGGACAGGGCTGGCTGTGCCTGAGCTGGGAGAACAGAGATCTGCTCGATAAGGTCTCTGAATTTCTCTAACAATGAGTTGTGCCCCCACAGAAATGATCGTTCCCCAGATAGGACAGTTACCTGGAATCCACCTTCAGGTCAGGGATGTCACGCTTGCAAAGGGAAAATGATCTCAGAACTCTGTAAGGCGAAGAGCTTCCCAGCAAGGCCCTGTCGGACAGAACCACAATGTTAAGATGTCCTTGCAGAGGAAGACATTGCCTAAACATCCCTTCTAAAAACCTAGCAATGGCAGCTTCCCAGGAAGGAGGGAATTCTTGGACTTCCTGGGGTGGATATAGTTCTACTAATATTTAGGACTAGAAATCAGCTGACATGCTCTGGTATTGCCTTTCAATTGTTAAAATATTGAAATACTTTCATACTTTTGGTAAATAGTTCTATCTTTGAGCTCCCAAGCACCTCCGGACCCTCTGCTAATACTTAAGTCTGTCGGGGAGGGTCTTATTTTAGGTGATTTCATCAGTAGCTCTACCTTTCCATACAGCAGGGAGAGCTTCTTTGCCGAGCTCACTTTGCTTCCAACCGTGCGGTACCAGTAGGTCTGCTTGGTGCAGGGCTGGGCACAACTCCAAGCGCCACAGATGTAACCGCCCTGCTCACAGACTGCACTGTTGGCTGACTCTTGATTTTGGATGGAACCTCCAGGCAATTAAAGCATAGAACCCTCCTGCCTGTGGCAAAAACACGCCTGGTCCTTAAAGGTCAAGATACCTTATGCTTGTCCTTAAAGGTCACATATACCTTTATGTCCCTCAGGGTCCAGGTCGTATATACATACAACAGAAATGACCTGTCTGAAGGAGAAAAACAACCCATATAGAATCTTCTTTTAATTCTACCCTCTCGTCCCTCCACTGAGTGCAAGCATAGGGGACTAATTTCTATGACAATAGTAATGTTTTGTTTTTTTAAATTGGTTATTCATTCACTAAATATTAGGTGAGCACCTACTATGCTGTTAGTTGTCAGTCGCTGTGTTAGGTGCTGCATATTCAGTAGTGAACAAACCAGACCCTGTCTCTGCTTTCATGGAATGTGTAGTCTAGTGGGGGGGGGGCAGAAAATAAAGGAGGCCACCGTGGCAGGAGTGTCGTTAGGTCATCATGGGTTGCATTTCATCTAATGGAAACTGCACAGATGTAATGGGTGACTCCTGGTGTGTCATCTACTTATCGCGTGTCTCTGCCCTGCTGGAGCGCTGGGGTGGCCGGCGTCAGTATAAAGTGGCCAAGCACACGGGGTGATTACTTCCTGCATCCAGTCAAGACCTCAGAGAGGTTGGGGACCACTCTGGATTAGGGAAAGAAAGCGGGAAATATTCTGAATGAGAAATGATGGTGGCAATATGTTCTAATATTTGGAGATCAGATGTGCTGTTTTTAAAAGAAGATGACAACTTCTAAACCAATCAGTTGTCTGATTGGAAACAGAATTCCCTTCATCCATGCTTTTTCTCTCCTTTGCCCTTGTAACCAAGTGAGTTGGCACCACTATTTTGAAAATCACCATTCACATTCCTAAGACAGTCCAATAGACCATTCTACTTGCCAGTATTCTGTCCTGCTTGTTTTTCTCTTTATTGAGTTATAATTTATACACAGTGAGATGTACAGCCTTAGGTATATAGTTCAGTTTTAACACATGTATATATTCTCATAACCCACACCCCTTTTCATTTTTATTTTAAAAATCTTGGAATCCTCTTAAGTGATGAACACGTAGGTCCAAAGGCAGATTTTTGGAAAAGAATTCTCCATTTAGTCCTCTGACTGTGTCCCTACCCCCTAATTCTCACCCAGCCCTTTCCTGAGTTCCCCAATCACTACAAAGGACTTAAAACCATAAGAACATGTTGTAATCCCAGCTTTCTGCAATCTAACAGAGAGATTGTGTCATCTGAAAACAAAGGGAGATTAAGTACAGAATTTGATTCTGACAACGGCAGAAAGGAACAAGCCAGACAAGGAATGTCACAGAAGGAATTAATTGAAGCACCACTGTGTAAATGCTCTACAACTCACAACCTTTTTCAAGACTGTAAACACGACATACAGTCTTGGTCAGGAAAGAGCAATTTTTAAAGGATTTTGCTCCAGCGACATGACGTTATCAAACTGAGATCTGTTAAATGGGAGATCCACGTACATTTTAGGAATTTCGCTGTTAACCCTACCTTATTCTCTCTGAATGGATTATCTTAGAAATGAGACATAAAGACAGGTACACACACTGTTCACTTTAGCCTGATGCAGTGGTCCCAGACCCACCGTTTCCATTAAACCATCCTCATATGCTGCAGTGTCTCTCCTGTGCTCCAAAACAGCTCTTCTTTTGCATAATTTTCACCAGTGGTTATATAAATAATATAACATGTAATTATTTAATAATTACAATTTGTGTAACACTTAAAGAAAGCCAAGTGAGAGGCTTTCTGTGAAAGTTCTTTTAAAGCTATAAAGATATGCACAGTCCAGAAGGATTAAAACTATTTCTACATGGCAGGGTACTTTGGAGCAACTACATTCCATTCTATTTCAAAATCAATAAGGCCAGCCATTCTCATTTTCCACGTCTTAGTGATGGCATTTCAGATATATTTCCCGAATCTGATCTAGTCTCTACATTTAGTCTTCATGACCTCCCCATCACACTTAAAATCTATGAAGAAAGGCATTCTATTCACTTATTTACTCTCTGTTGCTGACACCTAGCACTGGGCGGGCACTCAGTAATTTTTGTTAAATGAATGAACCTCACTGGTCTTGCCTTCAATGTCCTTCTAGCCCACCTAACGATGCATCAGCATCACATTCAAAAACACAGTTCTGCTTGCATCCTATGCACACTCATAAACCTTCAAGGATTCTCCATTGCCTGTAGAATAAAGTACGAACTCCTGAATGTCACCCTCAAGGTCCTTCATGGTCTAGTTCAAAACCACCTTTCTAGGCCCATCTCCTAGCCTGTATTCTCCCTCCCCGCTCCCCTGCCAAATGATCCTTAAAACCCAATGCAGGTTCACACTCACGAGCCTTTCCTTAAGCTATGCCCTCTGCCCAGAATGATCTTCCTCGTGCCCTCCTTATCCATCTGGTAGCATTTCACTTCTGCAAAAAGTAGCTCAAGCGTTACCTCTGCTGAGTCTTTCTAACTCCCCAGAAAGTTCTATCTGATGCTCCCATATTGCCCAGCTTGTCATTCTCTTATTGTATGTTTCTCACTACAGTATAGTTGGTTTTCTCCTCTTTTTTTTTTTTTTGGTTGTAAATTCCTTGAGAGCAGGGACTGAATCTTACCTTTTTTTTTGACACAGGATCTCACTCTGTTGCCCTGACTACAGTGCAGTGGCATCATCACAGCTCACTGCAACCTCAAACTCCTGGGCTCAAGTGATCTTCCTGCCTCAACTAATTTTTCTATTTTCTATAGGGATGGGGTCTCACTTTTGCTCAGGCTGGTCTTGAACTCCTGAGCTCAAGCAGTCCTCCTGCCTCGGCCTCCCACAGTGCATACTCCCTATACTCCCATAGGATTACAGGTGTGAGCCATCGCGCCCAGCCTGAATCTTACCATTCTTTAAACATCTCCCAAATCCATCCACCTCTGACCACCTCCACCATTTCTCTGCTCTGGTCCAGCCACCATCATCTCTCACCTGTACCTTGGAATAGCACCTGACTGGCTCTGATTTCCACTCTTGCCAGCCCACAGTTGACCTGCCACAGAGCAGCCAGTGATGCTTTAATAAGATAAATGATCATATGGCACTCCTCTCCTACAACCCCCCGCAGCTTCCCTGCACACTGCGAAGAAACCCAAAGCTCTTGGTTATTGGGCGCCTGCCGTCCTCTGCAACTTCATCTCCACCGCTTTCCCCCTCGCTCATTCCGGCACCCCTCATCTCTGCTTCTCCTTGAATATGACAGGCTGTTCCCTCCTCAGGACTTTTGAACCTTCGCCCCTCTGCTAGTTCCTTGTTCCCCAGATGTGCACATGACTTGCTCCTTCACTTCATTTTGGTTTCTGCTCAGATGTTCCCTCTGCAGAGAGACCTTCCATAACCACTGTCCCAAACAGCGCCCTCTGTCAAGCCCTTCCTCCCTTACCTGCTTTCTCTGTGGCACTGAACGTCACTGGTTTGTCACCATTCATTTTCCGCACATTTATATATTCGTTTACCTGAGGGTAGAGACTTTGTTTTGTTTGCCAGCATAGCCCTAGGACAGTGCCTTGAGCAGGCGCTCGAGTATTCATTGAATGACTGGATCAATCTTTGTATCCTAGATGCCGGAACGCAATCCCTGGTTGTATAAATATTTGTTAAATGCATGATCAAATTAATATATTTTACAAATGAAATGGAATCCTGGCATATAGCCAGGGCTCTCTGGGACATGAGTACAGGTGTTTCATCCATTTGGTTTGTGAACGTAATTTTGATAGGTGATGTAAGCAGGTCCCTTGCTTTTTCAGAAACTAGTTGCTGACAGAGGTCTTGCCCAGGAATATTTAGGGAGTTTCAGAAACGTCACCAAGAGTGGCACAGCGGGGATTTAGAATATTCATCAGCTCCTGAGGGATTCTGATAAGGTACTTTATCTCCTGTGATTTATAGTGAATGTACATTTGTTTTTAATCCTGCCAAACACTGATTATTCCGAGGGCCTGGAATGGGTAAGACAGTGATTGGCCTGAAACTCTGAAAGGCTTGACCCTTTACACACTGCATATCTGAGTGGATATTGCAATGAGACTTCAGTATTTGTGCTCTAGGAACCCGAGTGCCTTTGATATGGCACTTCTGTCCCTTGCAGTGGCTGAGCTAGGGGACAATTTGGCCCACTTTGCCAGTTCACTTTGGCCTCTGGGAAGTTGCTTTCCCTGCCCATCTTGTTTTTTTTCCTTAATCCCTTGCATATAGGTAAGTAAAAGGAGACAGTGCCCAGAAGGGTGGACCATTGGCATGAGTGAAGTGTAATATTGGCAGTCTGCTCATCTATCCTTTTAACGAGGCTAAGCAATGACCAGACTGTGGATGGCACCAAGGCCAGAGACCAGAACAAGGAGAGCCTGGGAGGCCCCCACGCCTACCCTTGGACTCAAATCTCAAGCATCAGGAGTGGTTGATGGGGCCTCACAAGGTATAGAGAGAAGGAAACCGGTTTTTCCCCATATGTGCCCTCTCCAGGCAGTCTAGGCCTTTTATGTGCATGGTGTCATCTGGTGTCACCAAGGAGTTAACGATCATCATCAGCATTGTACAGAAGAGAACAAGGCTCAGAGAGATTGATGACACTTGCCCAAGTTAACCAGATGGCAAGTGGCAGAGCTGGGATTTGAGATTCAGAGGCCTGTGCGACTCCCTGGCTCCCTACCAAGAGCAGGAATTTCTCTCCATCCAGCGGGGAATGAGGGTGAGGGGGAATAAGAGCGAGAGGGGCAGCAAATGGCTCCTACCTGAGACTTGATCATCACCAGGCGCTGCCCAGTCCAGGCAATAGAGATGCCACTTGGCTTCTCTTCTGAGGACTGAAATCCCGTGGCTGATCTGCCAGGGTCACGCTAATCTCACCACTGCATGGTACTGGGAGTGGATGAAGCCCCCATGGAGTGGAGCCTTTCCTTCCACGCCATTCTGCTGCTGCGTTTGTGCGTAGTGTCACACGGTGCCTTCGTGCTGCTCGGGTTTCTAGTTCTCCCTGCACCTCTCTCTCTTCCTCATTGCCAAAGTTGTGCCCCCCCGGGAAGTGCACCCTGCCTGCATTTCTGGAGGTTTGGGCGGTTCCAGGGCACTGTGGGAGCCTCCAGGCATGATCGGGGCGCTGCGGGCCCTCCCAGGGTCTCGCCCTCTTTGGGGCGCATCTCCAAGCCCCTTCCCTGGCGCTCGGGCTGCGCGCTGCAGCGCCGGCTGCGCCGCCAGGGGCCGCCCGGAAGCGGGGCTCCCCGAGGGCGGGGCGGGGCAAGGGGCGGGGCGCAGCGGTACCTGGGCCGCCCGGGAGCCGGGGGTGGGCTCTCGGGGGACAGCCGGCAGCCCCCCCAGATCTACTCCGCCAGCCGCCGGGAGCTCGGGGCTCCGGGCGTAGAGGCTGCGCTGTCACATGGGCGGCGGCGACGGGGCCGCATTTAAGCGGCCGGGGGACGGCGCCCGCCTCCAGCGCGTCCTCGGGCTTGGCTCCCGCCGGGCGCCCAGCGCTCTGCCCGCCGGGGGCCCCGCGCCGCGCCGCACCGTGCCGCCCCCGCCGGGCCATGCGAGCGCGGGCCCCGCCGCGATGAGCTCGCACATCGCCAAAAGCGAGTCCAAGACGTCGCTGCTGAAGGCGGCGGCGGCGGCGAGCGGGGGCAGCCGGGCTCCCCGCCACGGCTCTGCCCGGGAGCCGGGGCTGCCCAGCCGCCGGCTGCCCGGCGCCTCCCCGAGCACGCCGCCGTCGTCCGGGGACCCCAGTTCGCGGAGGCCCCTGTGCCGGCCCGCGCCGCGGGAGGAGGGCGCGCGGGGGAGCCGCCGCGGGCTCCCCCAGGCGCACTGCAGGCCCCGGGAGGCGCTGCCGGCCGCGGTGTCCCGACCTTCGCCGCCGTCGCCGCTGCCGCCCGCCCGCGGGCGGGATGGGGAGGAACGGGGTCTGTCCCCGGCACTCGGCCTCCGGGGCTCTCTGCGAGCCCGGGGCCGCGGGGACTCCGCTCCAGCCGCCGCGTCCGAGGCGGACCCGTTCCTCCACCGGCTGCGCCCCATGCTCAGCTCCGCCTTCGGCCAGGTAAGGGCCGCGCCTCCCGCCCGCGCTCCGGGGAAAGGCGTTCGGGACCCTGCCGCGGGCGGTGCGCCCACAGCCCTCCTGCCGGCGGCCCCCTGCGGGTCACGCCGCGGCTCGCCGCGTCCTCCCCCAGCCCCGCGCCCTTGCCGGCACCACTCCTCCCCCGAGCCTGATTCAGCACCCTGTGCGCTGTCCACGCTCCGGGCCTCTCCGGGACGAGGCCCCACGCCTAGCCTCCCTCGCACCTGCTGGAATCGGCCAGTCCTGGAAGGGAGCGACCTCCACCACCCTCCCGGAGACTTGCGGGGGTCGAAAAGGGACGCTCCAAGCAGATGGCGCCAAACCCACTCGTCTGGCCTCTGGCCAGTACCGCCAGGGAGCAGCCCAAGAGGACAAGGGGTTTGGAGTCTGGAGGTCAAGAGAGGGGACTCAGAGCACACAGACTTGCTGGGGGAAGGGGAGCCCTAGCAGAGCAAAGGCCTGGGAAAAGTGTGTCCCCAGGGCCCTGGGAAAAGTTAGCAGATTCGAAAATATGAGGGAAGAGGAGCGGCGTCTGGGTGGGAATGGATGGGCTGCACAGAGCTGTGGCTCAGACTGCAACTTTGGAGTGTTTTAAGGTGGTTGTCACTCAGGGGATGCCACTGGGCAGCTGGGCAGTTGTTGAGTTGTAGGACATGGAGTAAACAGCCAAAAAACCCTAGCCTCGGTGGGTGTGCATCGTAGTGTCAGAAGGGCCACTAAGAGGTCACCAGTGGCTCCTTTTGTTTCCCCCAGATCCTTTCCTCAAGGGTCCCAGGCAGCCTGGGCATCTCCCCTTTAAAAGCAGCTCTCAAGTCACAGGCCGGGTCTACAGTTTGGGACTCTGCTGCTGGGGACTCGCAGAAAGGAGCCTATGAACTGCAGGGCAAAGCCAGGCTTTCCTCTAGTTCTGAGTCTGTAATCAAGTCAAACTCATTGACACAGCGTGGAGACAGTTCTGTGGCAGCCAAGCAGGGGTGTCACGCAGAAGTCTGATCAGAGGCTTTGCATGGTTTATGAGAGAAGTAGGGGGGCCTGAGCCCTTTCTGTGCTAGGATCCAGCGTAAAAGATGCCGTTTCAAGCTCCTGGCTTGCCATGCCGGAGCCGAATTCCAAGGAGGCCATGTGTATTTTGCTTCAGATCTGCACATTTCTTTTCAAAATACTACTCTGCAGTGGCTGCTGCCGGCGGAGGTCTGACATGAAAGCCGCACGCGGAATTGGGTTGCACGGGGCTGCTGCGTGGGGTGATAGGGCAGCAGTGTGTGGCTTTGCTCCTGCAGGGAGCCCTTGTTAGCAGAGTTAGATGGAAACAGTTCTCCAGAGTAGAGATTTGGACGAAGGAGCTGTGAGAGTTAGAGGCAATGTGTCAAGTTCACTGCAGTGGTTTATATGTTAGTGAGGGCACGTAGGCTACAAGGGCAGGAGTGGTCTATGGGCCGGGGCTGGGTTGCAACAGGAATGCTGTGTTATTGAATGGGTGCTACCAATGCATTCATTTATCAAATATTTCTTGAGCACCTACTTTGCCCAGACATTTGCTAAACACTAGGGAGACAACAGTGAATGAGGTAGCCAGGGTTCTGGCTGTTTGGGATCTTACAATCTAGCAGGAAGGGCAGGTCACTGGCCCAGAATCATATACTTTTTGGTTATTCAGTTGCTAGTGACTCAGCTCCTAGAGAAAGAGCCCTTTCTTTCCTGTCTTGCAAAATTTGCCAACATGGGCCCTTTCAACTACACATTTCAACTACACATTTCAGAGCATTTCAACTACACGATTGTGTTCCTCCTTCTAATTTCTGCATCATTAAATGAAGTCTGTTCTCCAGCCCAGTGTTCTGAAATGTCACCAGGGTCACCTGAGTCAAGAGGAGCTGAAGGTCCCATCAAATATTTACTACCTCCCTTTGGAAGCTCCTGCTTCTCAGAGCGGCAGGCTTTTCTTTAAAGCCCAGTGCATTCAGTTTGGGCTTCCTGCTGACACCTCTAAGGCACCTGCTTGAATAACAACAGCAAGAACAACAAACCCAGGCTGAGACTTTTGTGTCAGAGCCTCCAGTCTCCTGTGACAGAGAGGAATTAGTCTTTCCTTCCCTTCTCTCTGCCTTGAGATTTCTGTCCCTAGAGAGGCAGGGTTGGGACCCAGGGCAGGGAAATAGGGTTCTGAATACAGGAACTTGCAGATAGCATCCGCTTAGGGCACTAAATAGTCCTGGGGAAGCATATTTCACGTGTCTTCCCAAGTTCCACTTTTTTTTTTTTAACTTATGTGAATTGCTTAACCTCGTTAAACCTCTTTATTTACCTGCAAAATAGGGATAATCAGGGTGTATGGGAGATTAAATGAGATATGGAAATTTTTATAAAGCTTGGTCCAGTACATGGCCCAGGGCCAGGGCTCTATCAGTATTAGTTATTACTATTGCTGTTGTTATTGTTGACTAGCTACCAAGGGCTTCTTTCCATTTGTAATACAGTCTGGGAGAGCCCGGGGTTCAAAGTGATACTGAGTACCAAGATAGACGCCTGCATTAGGGGAAACAGGAATTAGGATTCTTCCAGTGACCTCATAGAGAATCCTTATTCCCTGCAAGGAGGTAGCATGGTTTTGAGGCTAAGGCATGCAATGGTTGCTTGGGATGTAGCAGAGCTGCCGGTTCTAATCCTGGCTTCGTCACTTTCTATCTCTGTGACCTTGGGCATGTTATTTTCTCTCTCTGGTCTCGGTTTCTTCATCCAGAAATGAGATTGACAAAAACTGCCTTGCAGAGTTATTACAAGGCTTACACAAGATTAAGAATATCAAATGCCTGGCTCATAGCGGGTGCTGGCTAAAGGGCAGCCCTCATTAATGTTATTGCTGTTATTAATAGCGTAATTGAATGAGGGCCTGTGTAAGGTGCTTTGAAAGCAGACTCAGAGCCAGGTGAAGAATGCTATTATAGAAAGGAGCTGAATGTCAAAGGATCTTCCCCAGTTCCCTCTTTGTGGCTAGCTAAGGACATGACTCCCAGCCGCCTAGAGAAGATATGATGTCAGAAATTAACTCAGAATAGGCAGGACCTGGGGCTTTGGGTCTTGGAAGACTATTTTAAGAAACAGGCTTTCTGCTCCTTCCCTTAAGCTTGAGAAAAAAAACACGCATTGTAGAGGAGGCAAATGCAGATAAAACCCACAGCTCTTTCCCATCCTTCCCTTCTTTTCCTGCTGTAGAAACATTTCTTCTGATTTGCATAGACCAGCCCGGTTCCCATACTGCTTTACGCATAGCAGGATCGCAGTATTTGATGAGTGAGGGAATGAATGAATGATATGACCAGCCTCTGGACTTCGACAGTTTCGTAGTTCCTATGGTTATACAGGGAGAGGTTATACAGGAGGTTATACAGGCCATGATGGTTCGGGTCCTAGTGGATTTAAATCGCACTAGGCTTGTGTTCCTAAAATAAGGGACGTGTGTATTCCCCACTCCTGTTTGGGCCAAGTCTCTCCCTGTTTCTCCCTGGGGCTTGGAAAGGGGGAAAGGGAAGGTCACCTTGTGGTTAACATCAGTCATAGGTGATGGGAGTGGGTAGGAGTCAGTGTGGTGAGAGCCCACCAGGATGTCTGCATTTGATTCCAGCTGTTTGGGAGAACAACAGTCTCGAGCCCACTGAACAGTAGACAAAATATCTTCTCATTATCTTATCTTCACAGCAACCTGTGAAGATCAGCAGCATCATCCCCCATTTTATTTATTTATTTTTAAAATAATTATTTATTTTATTCCACAGATGTAGCCAATCAAAAATAAAAAAAAAAAAAAAAAATAATTATTTATTTTAGAGATGGGGTCTCGCTCTTGCTCAGGCTGGTCTCGAACTCCTGACCTCAGGAGATCCTCCCACCGTGGCCTCCCAGAGTGCTAGGATTATAGGCGTGAGCCACCGCACCCGCACCTGGCCATCATCCCCCATTTTAGAGATGAAGAAGGCTCGAGAGAGGAAAGTGACTTGTCCAAAGGTCACACAGTCAGTAAATGGCAGGATTGTAATTAAGAATCGTGGTCTGCCTGGCCTGTGTGTATCATGCTGGTTTGGTGGGGAGTCACATAAGTGCGTTCCCTGTTTGTCAGAAGCACCTTTCATGTTACGCCCCAGCTTTCCCCGAGTGCCTTAGCCCTGGGCTGTCATCCAAATTCAAATGCTGGTGATAGAACTGACCAGGGCCAAAGCCAGCCTTCCTCCTAATCAGGCATAATCAGCAATGAGTTTATCCTTCTCATCCCTCTGATCCTATTATTCCGTTCCAGGACGCAAAATGTGGCTTCCGGAGACCCAGGGACTGCAGCCAAGTGGATGGGAATGGGGCAGTGAAGGGGAGAGGTGACGAGCTTCACTCCTTAGCTGTGAAGCCCCCCACCATTCAGCCCTTTTACATTTCTTACTGAAGGTCAAGCCCTCTGTCCCACCTGCCCACCTGCCCAGCTGAAGTTAGTTTAAGTAAGCACCAGATCTGAATCCCTGGATCCCTTGCTGCCTAGTGTCGGCCCCTACCCCTACCCCCAAAGCAAGATGGGATTTCATCAAAGGGCGTGACTTTTCCATAGGGGACTGGTTTTGCGGACTCCTGTCTCCTGTTTCCAAGGACAGGCGCGTGTCCCAAGGTCGACAAGTAGGTGTTATGCCCCAAGCTGACCTGCAGGGGGCAGGAGCCACCAGGTCTGATTGAGCAGATGCTCTGCTGAATGAATGGATGCTACACCTCACCCTTTAAGCCCAATGCCAGGCAGAGGAAGGGAGCCCTTTCTAGGTGCCTGGCACGGTGCCATGCCCTTTGCATGTATTATCTCATTGGCTTTTCACAAGATCCCTCTGGGAGGTGCTATTGGAATTCCCATTTTATAAATGAAGAAACTGAAACTCAGAAAGAGCAACTTGTCCTCAGGGTCACACAGTTATAAGCTGCAGGGCAAGATTTGAACCTAAGTCAGTCTGACTCTGCATTCCAAGCTCTTAACCTTTACATCAGTGGCTCTTGATGCTGGTTGCAGGTTAGAATTATCTGGGGAGTACTAAACAACACCAGTGACCGGAGCCCACCTAAACTTACTAAATCAGAATTTCTGGGGAAGCTCCCAGAGCTTCTAACCTACAGCAGGCATTGGCGCCTCTGCTTACACTCACTGCCTTTGCGTGTATCTACCCATTAATTAATAGGAACTGGGTTTGTACCCGGAGCCTAACCCAGCCTCCTCTCTGGAGTCCCTAGTGAGCCCCATCTTCTCAGAAGAATCTACAGATGGTCCATTTTCTAAATTTTGCCTACAAGTCTTTCCTGACCTCCAGACTAAGTCACATTCTCAAAGTTCTTGTGTTTCCCGTTCGTAGCATTTATCTGAAATATAATTCAATAATTATGTTTATCACTGTTTAATAGCTCTTGCCCATCTGCTAGAATTTAAGCTCCCCGAAATCAGAGATGATGTTTACCTTTTTTTTTTTGAGACACAGTCTCACTTTATTGTCCAGGCTAGAGTGAGTGCCGTGGCGTCAGCCTAGCTCACAGCAACCTCAAACTCCTGGGCTCAAGCAATCCTCCTGCCTCAGCCTCCCGAGTAGCTGGGACTACAGGCATGTGTCACCATGCCCGGCTAATTTTTTCTCTATATATTAGTTGGCCAATTAATTTCTTTGTCTTTATATTAGAGACGGGGTCTCGCTCTTGCTCAGACTGGTTTCCAACTCCTGACCTTGAGCCATCCGCCCACCTCGGCCTCCCAGAGAGCTAGGATTACAGGCGTGAGCCACCGCGCCCAGCCTGATGTTTACCTTATTCCTCATAACATTCCCAGAGCCAAGCACAGTGCCTGGCATTTATACATTGAACGCATGGATACTTCTTTCTTCCATTTTAATAATTACTTATCTGGTGCCTATTATGTGCTTCACACTTTTCCATGTATACTTTATAAGCAAGGTAGGGGAAGCCCCGTTTTCCAGTGGAAGAAACAAGCTCAGGAATGGGAGGTGGCCACCCAGTCAGGAACTGCAGAGCCAGGACCCAACCCCTCTGTCCTCAGTGGGTGGCATCCACTCCATCTCCCCCTCCAGAGGGTTGGCCCCAACTGAGACTGCTGAGTAACTCCCCCAGCTTCCCAGGAGTGAGCCTGTGCCAATCTCTGGGCAATGTCCCCAACACCCCTACTTGTCTTCCCTAATGGGAGTTCTGACCAGCCACCCAAAGCTGGGTGAAAGTCCCTGGGAAAGGAGGCTCTCTAGGCCGAAAACTCTTGCAGCTGCGCATGTAAGAGCTGGCCGCATCAGCGCCCTCCCGGGAGGAGATCTGCTTCCCTGTCTCTCTCTGCTACCCCCTGCTGGGAAAAGCTGGGTGCAGGGAAGCAGGGACGCTTCCTCTTTGGGGGCATCTGGCTCAGGCTGTAGGTCTCAAATGGGACATTTGAGGTTTCAGATGAATTCACATCAAAGCCGGACCTTGGAGGGACCAGGAAGAGCAAGTCACCTAAAACGTTCCAGCAGTGGGACCTCGAAGAACGCTTTGTAAAGAGCTCCCTCTCTGCTCAGCGCTCCAAGGAAGCTGGTGAAAGGTCCTGGCTCAGGATGAGGCTGAGAGGAGGAGAAGGTTCGGAGACCTGGCTCGCTTGTCCGTGCCTGTGCTGCCTCTGTCGTGCCCCCTCAGGCCATCTCTTGGTTTCCCTTTCGTCGTTGAGATGGCACACAGCAAAGGGATCAGAAGGGTTTGATCTGGGCTGTTGGCTCAGCTGTGCTGCCGTGGTCCAGAGCCCAGTCCAATTTCAGCGAGGAGGCAAGTGTGAAAAATGGAGCATGATGGAGACGTCACAAGACCTCCCAGCCCCTCAGCTGGAGCCGCAGCTCTCGATCCTGCTGGAATTGCCCGGGGGCAGTGAGGATGCGTGCTTGTCCAGCTCACTGCTCTTGGAAAGGGCATCATCCCTCTGCATGCTTGTGCTTGCGTGTGTGTGCGCGCGCATGTGTGTGTGTTGCGTGTGTGTGTGTGCGCGTGTGCGCGCTTGCAAGCTCACACAAGGCTGGGCAGCCTGACTTCGGGGGCCCAAACTAGCCAGCTGCCCCTTCTAGGTCTGCTGGCCTAATTCCCAGCTGCAGCTGCCATTCTGGGCCCCCCTCCCTGAGGCAATCTCCCTGCAGATTTGGCAGCCGGAGAGGAGGGGCCGAGGGAAGGGAGAGAAGCAGAGAGAGAGAGAGAGAACGCCTCAGCGCTAATCCGATGGAGATGATCCGGCAGCCTTCTCCAGCTCTGCTGCCCTCTGCCCTCAGCTCTCCGGGCGATTTCTCTGTGCCCTGCACTCTCTCTCCTTCTGCCCTCATCTCCTTAAGAAAGTGCCTAGAAAGTTAAACCCACACACAAACACATACACACACACAATCCACTAAAAAAATTCAGCGAGCAGGAGCAGGCAGGCGAGTGAGAGAGCGCGCACGCAAGAGAGTCTCGCATCGGCCCTGGAGGAAGAGCCGCACAGGCAGAGGGAGGCCGGGTTGGCAGTGATGGGGACTGAGGTCCCTTAGCAACCAAGGAGCCTCCTTCATGGACCCCGGGATCCCAAGAGGGGCTGCCTCGACTTAGGATGGGCAACTGTGTCAAGTCTCCACTGAGAAATCTCTCCAGGAAGGTATGTTTCTGGAGTTCCCAAGACCTGGGGCTGGGAACTGGGGTGTCTTGCTCTCTGTCCCAGAGGATGGGCTTGGAAGGGGGTGGGCATCTGAAACTTGCTACCCATCCCGTGGATTCTGTCCAGGGCAGCTTCCCTGTTCTGCCTCCAGACACCTTCCTATGACAGTTTTCTACGTCCTGGGCTTTGGGCATGGGGTGGGGGTGGGGCTGGAATGTAACTGGGAATTTGCACAAGATTTAGAAAAGAAACCTTGTAGCTTTGGGGCTTCTGGGTTGTGAAATGAAAAGCATGGATCCTTAGGAAATCAGTGGACAGACCCCCTTGAAACTGGCAGGATCTGAAAACCCTTCTCCAGCTCTGCTGCCCCCTGCCCTCGGCTCTCTGGGTGATTTTTCTCTGTGCCCCGCACTCTCTGTCCTTCTCCTTCATCTCCTTAAGAAAGTGCCTAGAAAGTTAAACCCACACACAAACACATACACACACACAATCCACTAAAAAATTCAGCGAAAGGCTCCTGCTTCTCAGATGCAGAACCAGGGGCTCCTTCATATCCTTTGGGGGTCTGTGACCCTCTCTGCTGATCTCTAAGCCTTCAGAGTTGTGGGTTGGGATGTAGATCTTTTTGCTACTGAGAGGAACCAAGCAGGGTACCTCCTCTACCCCCAATCATTCTTGTGTTAAGTCAGAAAATCTCAAGTAGGACTAGACTGGTTCAGGGCCTGGGACTGTTCCCATTAAGACATAGGGTGTCAGGAGATATGTTGAGCAGGGGTGTATATAAGTCACTTCCTATAGTGGATTTATTGCTTATGTACTAAGATAATTTTTTTTTTTGCAACAATTCCTTTGGAAAGCAAATAATCATCTCGAGTGCATCTTTCATGCAAGGCTGAGCTCGTATCTGTAGGGTTTAGCTTCACGTGGGCTCTGCCTGTTTTCCTAGCCCTCTGCTGTAAGCCCATAGAAGAGACTGCTAATGAGATTGTATTTAAAGGAAAAGGGAATGATAAGGTTGTTTTCCTCCAATTCTTCCACTTTCCAGACAAGGAACTTGATTGCTATTCAGGGGGATTAAGTGACTTCCCTAAAGGTCTCAGGTCAGCTATTGGCACTTGTACCCCCACCCATCCTACCTCCTTGGTCAGTTTGACAGCCACTCAATTTAGGACATGTTGGGCTTTTCTGCTTGTCGTCTTCTCATTCGGCTAAGCTGCTCACATCAAATTCCTTTTAATCTTCGCTGTTCCTCGGATCCTTCTGAAGGCTGATTGTTTCTTCTGTACACACTGCCCCCCCCAATCTGTTATCTTAGGGGCATCTTTGGCATCAGAAGTGGCCCCCGTGCTGTTTCAAAGAAGCAGAAACTGATCTGAATTAGTCTAGAGGACCACAGGAATAAAGCCCTTATAATGGGTTCTGTCCAGACTTCGAAGATGCAGATTTTAAGAATAAGAACTATCCTTTTGTCTCAGCCACCTGGCTTCCCTTACACAGCATGGTGCTTAAGAGTCAGACCCCTAAGATCTCTTCTTCATAGGCATGTGACCTTGGGCAAATTACTTAACCTCTCTGTTCCTCAGTTCTCTTGTCCATCAACTGGGGATACTAATACCTACCTCTTAAAGTGATTATGAGAATTAAATGAAGTGCTATGCACAGTGCCTGGCATATAGTACTTAATAAATGTTAGTATTATTGTCATTGAAATTATAATTTTTCTACTCAGGTTTTAAGAGGAGAAGGATGGTAGAGAAAAGGAAAATAGGAGAGGTTTTGAGTCCATAGAGTAAGAGGGAAAAGATCAGGAAACTTATTGCCTTCAATTTCATGTTTTTTGTAATAACAATAGTAAGTGCTTTTTACTGAATATCTGCAGCATATCTAACATGTTGTCTCATTTCTCTTGCTAAATAGTCCTCTTAGGCAGGGCGCAGTGACTCACACCTGTAATCCTAGCACTCTTGGAGGCTGAGGTGGACGGATTGCTCGAGGTCCAGAGTTCCAAACCAGCCTGAGTGAGAATCCATATCTACTAAAAATAGAAAGAAATTAATTGACCAACTAAAAATATATATATAGAAAAAATTAGCCAGGCATGGTGGCACATCCCTGTAGTCCCAGCTACTTGGGAGGCTGAGGCAGGAGGATGGCTTGAGCCCAGGAGATTGAGGTTGCTGTGAGCTAGGCTGATGCCACAGCACTCACTCTAGCCTGGGCAACAAAGTGAGACTGTCTCAAAAAAAAGAAAAGAAAAGAAAAAGAAATAGTCCTCTTGGCTGTTTTTTAGAGAAAAGGAACTGGCCTCAGAGATAAGAACCTTCTTAAGAACACACAGTGGACAGGAAGCAGAGCTGGGATTTAAACCCTTGTCTGCATGAAATCAGACCTGAGATTTTATTTTTATTTTTTCCTCCATGAGAGGCTGCCTCTTTCTTTTTCCTGCTCTCAGAAATGTTATTCATAGCTTCCTGGTTCTGACCTTAGAGGTTGTCCAGTCCGGATTCCCAGCCAGTGCAGCAGTCCCCTCTCCCATTTTGCCAAGTGCTCACTCACTCAACTTCTCCTTGAAAACCTAAAACCCTCAGCGAGAGGGAGCCTTGACCTGCATCCTTGCAGCCAGCTTGTATTGTTAGAAAGCTGTTGGGTCACGAGGCGTGCTGGCCCCTCCTGTTGCCATGCCACACTCGGGAGGCGTCCCCTTGGTGCCAGGAGACGTTCTCAGTCCGTGGGCCGCTGCCCACTTGGCTTCCTGAGTGGCGGCCGGGGAACAGGTCCTGGTGAGAGGCGGCCTGCTCCAGGCTCCAAGCTGGGCAGGACCGGGCTGTCAGGTGCCATCACTGGCTGGAGAAGAACAGCAGCCTCCGGGCCAGCTTGGTGCCAGGTGGTATTATGATCAAGAGAGGCTGTGGAAATTCCCCGGACACCACTGGCTCATTCTTCGTGGCAGCAAATTCCTCTCCATCCTTCTCATTTCTGTTCTGATTGGCAGATGTTCCCCCACTTCCTCCAGAGCCAGAAGTAAGTGCCTCCTGGCACCCAGCAGCTCTGAAGCTGCATCATCACCACCACCACCATCAACATCATCTTCATCATCACTATGGCAACCCCACTTATTCAGCTCTCACCACGATCTAGGCACTGTGCAAAGCACTTTCTGTGCAGTAGCTCATTCATTTCTCCAGGAATCCTGTGAGCAGTCATGAGTATCCCCATTGTATAGAGAAGGAAGCTGGAGCACAGAGAGGTGAAGTGACCTGCCCAAGGTCACACAGCAAGCAGATGGCAGAACCAGGATTTGTCTCTAAGACTGAGTCCAAAGCCAGCACCCTAAACCTCGTCGTATCAGAGCTCTCCTCCTTCCCCAGTTGTGTTCTTTTTGAGCCAAATGTGCAAGATTCCACCAGAAACTCAAAAGCTGACTCTTTACAGATACCTCCTGAGATCATTTCCTGGGGTTAGGCTACTGTCTACCCCAAGGCTTCTTTTGATCCACCCTCCCAGATGGGAAGGGGTCTGTTGTTCTGCCCTAGCTCTAGCCTGGGTCCTGGAAGTCTGAGTGAGTACAGCTGAGACTCTGAATCTTAACTCTTTGGGATGTCAAACTGGAATGGGCCGTTGGCCTATCTGATGGCCCTCAAGTTCTGAGATTACCTAAGACTGACCCATATTGCACTCGCTGAACTTGAGCCTTGGGCTGAGTTCCTTCACCTTGGGGCTGAGTTGCTGCCTCCGCTTTGAGGAACTGGAATACTGCACCTCCCTCTCTAGGCCCTGAAGGGGCCTCGGTCTGAAGCCCACCTCAGGGTGGGGCTTTGGAAAGAAGCAGTAGGAGAGGACAAGGTGCTACAGGGGGTTGTTCTGCTTCTCAGGCTGGAGGGAGAGGCTGTCCCTGAGTCTTGGGGTCTTCTCCTAGGCGTGGCCTTCTTTGCCCTGGAGGAGCCTGGCTGCAGGTGGAATACAGTAGGAGGGAAGTACAGGGGTGCAGCTCTGGGGTCCTCAGACAAAGACAGCTCTCGGGTTTCAGCTGCTCTTTCATTGCTTGGGAAGGTTCTAGGCCAAACCCCCACACCAAGGGGAGGCATCCAAACTTAAGGCTGAAGGCAGAGTGCTGTGACCTGGATTCTGCAGAGGCACTGGCTTTCTGGGGAGGCTGGGAGAGAACCGAGTGTTGTGTCTGTGTGCCGCTGTTGTCCTAAGGGGAGGGTCCGTGGGCAGCGCTGACTTTTTATAGCTGCATGGGAACCTTCAGGCAGGAGGAGGGCTTGGCCAGGGCCTGGGAGCACAGCTATATTTGGTAAGCAGAGCAGGCCCCTGCCTCGCCCTCTGGAGGTCCAGCGCTCTGGGCCAGGCAGGGAGCCAGGGAAGGAGGGAGGGAGGAAAGGGAGAACCGCCGGATAGCAGAGAGTGTCTAGTCTTGAGGTCACAAACTGAGTGGCGTCTGGCCTACAGATGTGTCTTGTTTGGCCCACCCAGTGCTTGCTTGCTTGCTTGATTGAGACAGTCTTGCTCTGTTGCCCGGGCTAGAGTGCAGTGGCGTCATCATAGCTCACAGCAACCTCAAACTCCTGGGCTCACAGGATCCTCCTGCCTCAGCCTCCCAAGTAGCTGGGACTACAGGCATGTGCCACGATGCCCAGCTAATTTTTCTATTTTTAGGAGAGACGGGGTCTTGCTGTTGCTCAGGCTGGTCTCGAACTCCTGAGTTGGGAGCACTTTGGGAAAGGATGTTCCGTGAGGCTCCGAGGAAACACTTGCCATTGATTAGAACAGAATCCTCCCTCTGTCTGCACTTGTGTCTTCTGCATGCATGTGAGCGTGTGATTCTGTGCATATGTGTGTGTGTGTATGCATGCATGTGCTACACAGTGGGTATCACATTCAGCTCTCCCTGGAGCGACTGTTAGAGTCAAGGATTGGACACTCCATCTGTTGGACCAATTTGATGCCCCCAGGCATCCCAAGGACTCTTGGAACCCCGCTACTCAACTCTCCAGGGTCTTCTCTTGAGGAGAGCCCCTTCTGGGACCAGGAAGCAGCCTGGGCAGGGAGGTGACGTCCTGCCTCTCTTTTGTATTTGCTTGGTGCTGGCTGAAGATGCGCCAGGAGGAGCAGACCAGCTACATGGCGGTGCAGACGAGCGAGGAGGGGCTGGCGGCCGGCGCTGAGCTCCCCGGACCGCTCCTGATGCTGGCTCAGAACTGCGCCGTCATGCACAACTTGCTGGGCCCTGCCTGCATTTTCCTGCGCAAGGGCTTCGCTGAGAACAGGCGGCCTGTACGTAAGTTGGCCCGGTGGAGCCCCCAACCTTGGCTTCACAGGGCATGAGGAGGTGCTGGGAAGAAGAAGAGGTCTGTACACGGCAGTCCCTGTGCCCTAATGGATGCACCTCACACCCCCAGCTCGTGAATCCGATCCCCGGAGTTTCTCACTCCTGGTTGCAAAGTCCATACCCACCAGCAAGAAATAATAATAGCAGATAAGTTGTTTTTGAGCACTTACTATGCTAGTGTGTGATGGATTGCCTAGGCACTGTGCTAGCATGGTGATGGATCGCCTCATTTAAGCCTCAGAGCAACTGCAAGAGGTAGGTACTTTTATCATGCCCATTTTACAGATGAGGAAACTGAGTTGGAGAGGTAACCTGCTCAAGGTAACAGCTAGTGGCTGGTAGAGGTAGGGCTCAAACTACCTGTGTAGTCAGACAAAAGAGCCTCCTGTACTCTTAATGACAATTCTGTATACAGAATTATCTGGTAGAACCTTCTATGATGATGAAAATATTCTAAATTCTGTGGTGTTCACAGTAGCCACTTGCTGAGTGTGGCTATCAACTGCTTGAAATGTGACACGTGCAGCCAAGGAATTGGATTGTTCATTTTATTTCATTCTAATCTAGATTTGCACAGTCACGTGTGGCTAGTGGCTACTGTATGGGACAGTCTCCTACAGGTATCTGAATTGTCACGGGAAGGAGGCAACAACAATGACCTTGTAAATACAAACATTCACACATTCCATTTATGGAATGTCACATGCTAAGCACTTTAAGTAGCTTGTCTCACGGAAAGTGCACAAAGGCCCCGTGAGGTGGGTACCAGCATTAACCGTTGTGCAGATGAGAAGACAGTGGCTCAAAGAGCAGAAGTGACCTGCCCAAGGTCCCACTGCCAGGAGGTAGCAGATCTGGGCTTTGTACCCAGGTCTGTTGGACTGTGGGACCCAAGCATTTCTCCCCAGTCACATAAACTGGGGAGGAGTGAGTGTTCGTGCTCCACTCCCACCTGACCCCCTGAGTTGGTGCACGTGGTTTCCCTGCCCCACGGGTGGGTGTCCCTATACAGAGCCCTGCTGCTTTGCATGGGGGTTGTTGCGATCCTGGGAACAGCCACCGGGGCTCAGTGGACCAGCTCTGGTCACAGGCGCGCTGTGAAGGGGCCCCTGGCGTTGCTGCTCCCTGGGCTCTGGGCATGCAAGAGGAATGGAGGGGCTGCCGTGGTGATCACAGCACCTGTTCCCCTTCTGGTCCTACAGAACTGGGCCCTGGAGAAGTGGGAGGGGGCTTGAAGCCCGATGGGTGGGAAAAGCCTAGTTGTGTCCCAGTAGCCAGTCCTAGCGAGTGCGCTCTGCACGCACATCCACACGCGTGGGCTCACTCGCTTTCACGTACAGGTGGGGTGACTTATGGCAAAAAAGACATCCTTTTTGGTCACCCAAGAATATCTAGCAACATATGGGTCTGTCTAGGAATGACCTGCCCTTGCACCATGCACCACGACAAGCTTTTTATTACCATTATTTTTTTTAATTAAACATTTTTTTTACACATAAGACATTCTCTGACAAAATGACAAGCTTTTTAAGTGACAGTCCATGCAGTCATCTCACAGGGACGCTCCTCCATTTAGGTGACTCCTGTCCTTGCCTAGAAACGCCACCCGGAGGACCTGGCAGTTCGCAGCCTGCTGCTTCCAAGCTCACACAGACTCTCAACAAACACTGCCCTGTCACGTGCAGCCACCTCTGAGCTCTGGGTCCTGTGACCTGGTAGTCCCACCAGCTGTTGCTCAGCAGCCCCTTCCCCTTCTAGATGATCTTCAGATTGTCTGGTGCTGGTGTCCCTTGCCCTGGGGCCAGTTTGGAGTGGCTGTCCCCACCCACCCTGGCCCTGTTGTCTGGAGCGGCGGGTGTGCCCAGCTGAGATGACTGGCACTTGCTGTGGCACGCCTGCCCGTCCGTGCTGTGAGCCTCTCAGGGCGGGACACCTGCCTCGTGTTCTCCGTGGAACACTTGGGGAGGATGGGCCCTGCGGACCACGTTGGGAACCTGCTGACCAGATCCGGCTGAGCACCCATCTCCGTTTTGTGCCAGTCTGTGTCCCTCCTGGGCAGGCCTGGGGCGACCAGCACCTCACCAGCCTGTGCTCGCCTGAGGCCTGCTCCTTGGAGGTTTCCCTGCCGTCTGTTCTGACGCCGAGACTCAGGGTCTCCTTGACTCCCCAAGGAGACCTGGGCTCTGCTTGAGGCTGGAGACGTGTGTTGTGGACCCTGGCAGCAGCCAGCGACAGTGGCGGCCCCCGGGGTCCTACGCTGTGTCCTGTGGCAGGGCAAGGTGTGGGGATGCGGGCCACACTGGGGAAGTGGGGCAGTGCCCAGGATGCAGGGCATAGCGCTAATTCTGCCTCTACACCCCTGACTTCCCCCATCCTCCCCCTGCCCAGCCGGTCCCTGCCGTCTCTCCCCTGCGACCCCTCTTCTTCCATTGCCTTGCGGGCCTCTGCTCCCTGCTCCTCCTGGTTTCACTGGGTGCTACTGTCTTCTCTGTCTTGTGCTCTCTCCCCGCCCCGTTTGATTTGCAGGTTTTTGCCTCCAGACCAATGCTGCCCCCAGACCCATTCTTGCATCCGGAATAAGGGTGTGGGGGGCACAGAGGTTTTGTGCCCAGGCCAGTGGGGCTGTTGGGTCCTTGGCCGTCCCTTACCAAGGGCCCAGGGGCTTCCATGTCTATGGGAGACTCGGGGCTGCGCCTTTCCCCCTCAAGGACGTGATCCAGACACGCCTCTGCTGCGCCCGTGTCACTTCCCACCCACTGACTGACTGCTGCCACTTGGATGGCCCCCACGTTGGGCATTTTGTGACTTCCAGGCCCCTCGCTGCGGCTAACAGGACACGTTCTTTTGTTTCAGGACAGATCACTGCGACCAGAGGAGATTGAAGGTAAAACTTGGTCCCTTGGGGGAAAGGGCTGTCCAGCCCTCCAGGAAGGCGTGGGGAGGCAGGCTGGTGGGGAGACAGGCAGAGACACCTTGGGCTCCTGGGAACAGGGGCTGGTGCAGAGCAGGGCATCAGTGACGCCAGCCATGGAGCAAAGAACAGGAGGCAGGAGAAACGCCCCGGAGCCCTGGCCAGCTCCAGGGGCCATCTCTCCGAGCTGGTGGGCCCTTGGGCTGCCTTTGCCCAGAGGCCCTGTGGGTCCTGCCCCCAACCACGGCCACCTTTGTTCGCTTCTCCAGAGCTCCGAGAGGCATTCAGGGAATTCGACAAGGACAAGGACGGCTACATCAACTGCCGGGACCTGGGCAACTGCATGCGCACGATGGGCTACATGCCCACCGAGATGGAGCTCATTGAACTCTCCCAGCAGATCAACATGAACCGTGAGTCCCTCCGCCAGGCACCTCCTTCCCTGCTGGCCCTTGCCCTTGCAGTCCTCTGCAGTCAGACAGGCCTGGGTTCTAATTCTGCATCCACCTCTTTCTGGCTCTGTGACCTGGGGCAAACCACTTACCCTCTCTGGGCCTCAGTTTCCTGACCTGTAAAATGGGAGTTGTGGGCCGGGCGCTGTGGCTCACGCCTGTAATCCTAGCTCTTGGGAGGCCGAGGCGGGCGGATTGCTCAAGGTCAGGAGTTCAAAACCAGCCTGAGCGAGACCCCGTCTCTACTATAAATAGAAAGAAATTAATTGGCCAACTGATATATATATAAAAAAAAAATTAGCCGGGCATGGTGGCGCATGCCTGTAGTCCCAGCTACCCGGGAGGCTGAGGCAGAAGGATCACTCGAGCCCAGGAGTTTGAGGTTGCTGTGAGCTAGGCTGACGTCACGGCACTCACTCTAGCCTGGGCAACAAAGTGAGACTCTGTCTCAAAAAAAAAAAAAAAAAAAAAAAAATGGGAGTTGTGATAGGGGAGTGGGACACAGAAAATCAATGACGAAACAGATGTAAAACACCCCAATGCGTGGCTCACAGTAAGAATGGAACAGAGGGGTGCTATTATTATGTTTGTCTCTGTCTGATGAGCAGGTCAAGGATGGATCCGTCGGTCGCCTAGTTGGAGATGGGCAGTGGGTGGATCGGGGTGGGTGACCTAGCCCTTTCCTCTTTCTCCAGTGGGTGGCCATGTGGATTTTGAAGACTTTGTGGAGCTCATGGGGCCTAAACTGCTGGCAGAGACAGCAGATATGATCGGAGTAAAGGAACTGCGAGATGCTTTCCGAGAGGTAATCCACAGTGACAGGCAGGGGCGGGTGGGCTGTTAGTCCCATCTCCAGGGTGGCTACTTGAAAAGAAGTCTGGGTCCTGAGTCCCAGACCAGGGGAGGGAGCTTGGACAGAGAAGGGTCTCCGGTGAAGGTGGGACAGTGCCCCTGGAGAAGGAGCTCAACCTTAGGATCTGCCGCTGCCTGTGTCCATGTTGGGGCGACTTCTCCCTCCTTCCCGCCCTCTCTAGTTTGACACCAATGGCGATGGGGAGATAAGCACCAGCGAGCTGCGAGAGGCCATGAGGAAGCTCCTGGGTCACCAGGTGGGACACCGAGACATAGAGGAAATTATCCGAGATGTGGACCTCAATGGGGATGGGCGAGTGGACTTTGAAGGTAGGTGGAGCTCGGAAGTGTGAGAGGAGCCAGTGGTGGCCATCCAGAGCCCTCCAGTGTGTTCCATCACACAACCATCAGTCCACCCTAACTTTCCATGCCCTGTCCTTCCATCCTCCTGTCCCATCCTCCCCCCTCCATCTATGCACCCCTCTTAATCCACCTCCCATCTCTATCCATCTATTCATGCCTCTATCCATACATCTGTCTGTCCATCCATCCATCCATCTACCTATCCACCCATCTATCCATCCTTCCATATCTATCTCTCCATCCTCTCCTCCATTCATCTCTTCATCTGTCTAGATGCCTATTTAGCCATTCATTTATCACTAAACAATCATCCATACCACCATCTATCCATGCATTTATCTATCCATTCATGCATCTATTCATTCGTCTATACATTTACTCAAGTATCTGCCTACTCATGTACATGTCTCTATCCATTTATACTTCCACACATCCGTTCACCCATCCATATATCTCTATCCATATGCTTATACTTCTACCCCTACTTCCATTGGTCTGTCCGTCTGTCTGTTCAGTCATTTCCCCATCTATGTGCATCTACTCATCCATTCGTCCATCCCTGTGTCCACCTCCCCCCATCCATCTCTATTCATTTCCCTGTCCACCCTCTCATGCACGCATCCATGGTAGGTATTTCCTGAATACCACATTGCTCAACTTGACACTCAGGCTCCCTAAGGTCCGGCCGCAGCCCACCTCCCCAGACGCAGCCCCTAGCGTTCCTTCACTCACACTCTACCCAAACACTTGCCGTCCACGAACCGGCTAGGCTCTCTTTGGAATCTGCGTCTTTCTGCCAGGATCCTTTTATTCCGTTCCTCGCTTGGGCTGAGTTCTATGAGCCCAGGGGTCATTCTTTGCGACCCAGCAGTGGGACTGCTTACCGCAGCCCTTCTTCCCTGGGTCCTTGCACTGAACATCCTCTTTCCTGGGATTTCACAGCTGCTCAGACTCACTGTTCTTCACATTGTCCCCTAACTGCTGGCTGCAGTTGCCTTCCCGCTTGACTCTGAACTTAGAGAAAAGATGAGCCCCCTTTTCTTTATCTCTACATTTCCAGCATAACAGGCACCTAACACATAGCTAATGCTCAGTAAAAGGTTTTTCTTTCTAAAGAATCAATTAAGTACCCGTCATCTCACTAAGTATCTTTACATATATTATCTCATTTAATTCTTACAATGACTGTATGGATTGCACTTTTATAACGTCATGTGACAGATGGGGAAACTGAGGCTCAGTAATAGAACTTGCTCAAGATTGCCTAACTATTGAGAAGCAGGGCTGGGGCACAAAGCCAGCTATACACAATTGTCAGAACATAAAGCTTGGGAGGTTTTCTCTGGGGAGCAGTCGGCCTTCAGGAGAGGGTGGAGAGTGTGGAAAGATGGAGCGAAAGCTTTACTACCAGTAGGTCTGAAAACCTCAGGTCACCCTGTGTCCAGGTAGAGCCCCACCGCACATGACAGCCCTTCCCTGAAAGCCTCTCGTCCCCCATTCATTCTACCAAGATGCATCATGCACCTGCTGTGTGCTGGGCTCTGCCTTGAGCAGCCCCGGACCAGCGAGGAGAACAGAGACAACAGTGTAGCTGGGAGAAGTACAGTAGGCTGTGGCGTATAAAGGGGACACCTGTGCCGAGCTAGGGGCCGGGATTAGGGAAGACTCCCTGCAGAAGATGGATAGAGACAGGGAAATGACTGGACAGAACCTTAAATGCATATCGGAGTCCTGAAAGATGCTAAGAGCCACCGGGCGAAAAAGAACAGAAGGATGTTTGCCCCATTTAGTTGAAAACGTACATCCTGGCCGGGCGCGATGACTCGTGCCTGTAATCCTAGCACTCTGGGCGGCCGAGGCGGGTAGATTGCTCGAGGTCAGGAGTTCAAAACCAGCCTGAGCAAGAGCAAGACCCCGTCTCTACTATAAATAGAAAGAAATTAATTGGCCAACTAATATATATAGAAAAAATTATCTGGGCATGGTGGCGCATGCCTGTAGTCCCAGCTACTCGGGAGGCTGAGGCAGGAGGATCGCTTGAGCCCAGGAGTTTGAGGTTGCTGTGAGCTAGGCTGACACCACGGCACTCACTCTAGCCTGGGCAACAGAGTGAGACTCTGTCTCAAAAAAAAAAAAAAAAGGAAGGAGGGGGACGGTTGCAGGAGGGCTGAGAGGTGAGAGCTGCAGTAGAGGTGCAGGAAAGGGGGTCTGAGTAGTCAGGGCACAGAGATCGGGGTGGGCGTGAGCATGAGTGGTGTGGCTGGAGATGTCAGCTGGGGCCACGTCAGGGAGGGCCTCGAGGCGGAGTCAGGGGACTCGTTCCAGTGGGGATCGGTGGGAAGTGTAAGCACAGGTCAGATATGCAGCTTAGAAAGCACTCGCCTGCCGCTGTGCACGCTCTGGCCTCCAGGGGACAGAGTGGCTGTGGAGGACCAGCAGGGAGTCAGGGGCAGTGACAACAGGAGGTGGGCAATGGCAGCAGGGTGGGCCAGGCCCTGACTGCTGCTTTCCCCCGGCCCACTCGGGTGCCCTCGCAGAGTTTGTCCGGATGATGTCCCGCTGAGGCCTCGAGGGCCCCTCCAGGACTGCCAAGCTCCCACAGGCGGGGAGAAGAGGAGCCAGGGCTCGCCTCCCCCGCCGTGGCCGCCGCCGAGAGCCCAGGATGCACTAGTGGATGGGGCCTGCCTGCACCCCGGGGCGGTGCCCACCCCGGACCCCCACCCCTCCGCACTGTGAAAGACTAACTCCTGCAACTGGAAAGGGGGCGCCCGCCGACGAGGAGGCCGCAGTGCCAAGCCGGCAGAGGTCATGCCAGGCGCCAAGTGCCATGTGCCCAGCTGCTGCTGGCTGGGTGGGCCAGGGAGCCCGCCAGCAGACCCCACACAGCATGTCTGCCCCAGGGCAAAGCCTCTTGCCGCCCTCCTTAGCTCTGTGCCCGTCCCAGCTCGCCTCAGCCCTGATATCTCAGAACCAATAAAAATATTTCCAAGAGAAAGACAGCTATGTTGGTTTTTGCTTCTTGGGCCTTGTTGGATGATACACGTGTTTCCCGAGCACCAACCGCACGCCCAGAACTGGCTGAACATTCCTGCCTTCAGCGTGCATTTATTGAGCAGCTATTACGTGACTAGTAGCTCCCATTCCCATTCATAGGCCAGAACATGAGACCAATATCGGAAGGAATGTGTTACAGCTGAGGATGCAGCTGCCTCAAACACAGCCAGATTCAATAAGAAGAGCAGGATGGCCCTGGGTAAGCATCTAGAAGGGTCTGTACCACTTCCTGACTTCCTGGACCTTTCATACTGGTCGGGGAAACAGACATGACATAAACACATCATCTATGGTTACAAACTGTGATACTGCTATTAAGGGAAAACACAAGGCCCTTGGGTAGGGTATAATAAGGAGGGCTGGGGGGGTCGGGGAAGGCTTTCCTGAGGAAGTGATGATAAGGGTTTGGCCCCGGAGGAAATCCCAGTGTGTGCGAGGAGACAGACACAGAAAACAGCTGCTGTCCTTGCTCTGCGTGGGAAGAAGGTGGATAGTGGATAGGCCCTGGGCTTGCTGGCTCTGTGACTTCGGGCCCATCTTGTTCCTTCTCTGAACCTCATGTTCCTCATATGTAATTTGGGGATAGTGAAGGACGGAGTCTGTACACAGTAAGTGCTCTCGGGGCACTGGGCATTGCATTGCACACCCCTAGGGGGTGCTGTTCAGGCTGCAGTGTGATCCAATATTGAACAGGTCTGTTCTAATTGTAATTAGTTTCCACCAATGAACACTTGAAGGAGCCTGAAGGAGAAGATTATGGGTAGAAGCCGCCCAGAATCTTGGACAGGCTCGGGGCATCCTTGCGCAGGTATGAGGGGTGGCCGGTGGGTGTACTCCAAACCACCGTTTCTCGAACTTTAGCATGTGTAGAACACCTGGCAGATTTGTTAAGCCACAGGTCTGATCCCGTGTTTGGGGTGGGGTCCATGAACGTGCGTCTCTAGCAGGTTCCCAGAGCCTGCTGCTGCTGCCAGCTGGTAGACCACAAGCTGGACAGCAGTGCTGTAAAGCCCAGACACAGGGGAGGCAGGCATGCCCCCAGGCGGCAAGGGGAGGCTGGGAGGCCGGGGCTGGAGCTGCAAGGTAGGCAGGGCCTCCCCTCTCCCCTGTGCCGTGCAGAGGGAGGATCCTTGTTCTCAGACCTGGCGGGAATGTGGGAAGGATTGTGGGCCCCAGCCAGAGGCCCGGGTAATCCTCATGTCCCTGAGGCCAGAGAGGCTGGAAGCTCCAAATTCACTCTAATAATCCAATTCTGAGACTAAGCCCTTGGCTCCGAGCCTCACGAGGCAGGCTTGCAGCCTTCCCTGCCCCTGCAGCCGCTTGGCTCTGCCCAGAGACTCCAGACCTACACAGTGGCGGCAGTGCAGCGGCTTGGTGGGCACGTTGCAGAAAGGGAGCTTCTGTGGGCATCTCTCCCAGCTGGCAGAGTGAGCCCCTAGGAATGCCACAGGGAGAGGCTGGAGTTAGGGGTAAACCAGGACTCCTCTGTCCTCAGTGTGTGGCCTCCACAATCATAGCTATGGCAGCTGTGATAAAGGGACTTGAGAATATAGCTAGGCCACTGTGCAGAGGCGTCTTCATGCTCAGGGGAAGGGGAGGCCCAGGGACAGAACCTCTCCCTCCTCCAATGATGACACTAGGACTCTTCCCCTTGAACTCGTCTTATATTTTGAGATTCCTTGTAAGATTATTTGAAGAAAGGGTTCTGCAACTTTTCAAGAACTGGGATGCATTTTCCTAGGCAGGAATTCTTTCTGCAACCTGCGCCGCTGCTAATGCCTTCCCTGGTGGGGAGCTCTGGGTGTGTCATCTTATAAAACCTCTCATCATCTTAAAGGTGCTAAACTGAGCCTGGATTTGCTGCCTCGTGACTCATAAAGTCCGATTACTCACTCATGCATGCATGCATTCAGTTGAAATTTATCGAACTCCCACTGTGTGCCAGGCTCTGAGCCAGAGTCCCTGCCCTCAAGGAGCTCAAACTCTAGCAGGGGAAATAGATAAGGAAACAGACAAGCGTGATGTAGTGGCATAAGTGCTACCAGTATGTAAGTTAGGCTAGGAATGGCAAGCGTACATAAAAGGCACCCAGGCCAGGCGCCGTGGCTCACACCTGTAATCCTAGCACTTTGAGAGGTCAAAGTGGGAGGATCCCTTGAGGCCAGGAGTTCGAGGCCAGCCTGGGCAATAGCGAGACTCCCATCCCTACAAAAAGTAAAAAAAATTAACCAGGCATGGTGGAACATGCTTTTAGTCCCAGCTACTCGGGAGGCTGAGGATGGAGGATCGCTCGAGCCCAGGAGTTTGAGGTCGCAGGGAGCTGTGATGATGCCTGGGCAACAGAGCAAGACCCTATCTCAAGGGGGGAAAAAAAGGCACCCAATCCAATCTGGCGGGGTGGGGTGGGGGTGGGGAGGAAGAGACAGATTTGCTAGGACCTGAGAGATCAGCAGCAGAGCTTGGTGAGAAGAGATGGGAGGCCTGTGTTTCCGGTAGAGGGAATAGCACGTGCAAAGGCACAGAGGTAAGGGAGAGCACAGTCCCTCTGGGAAACTAAGCAGAATTCCATCTGCCTGGCATACTGGGCTGGCAGGAGGAGCAGAGAGAGAGTACACTCAGCAGGGAGGTGGGGCCCATCCCATCCCAGACCTTGGGGTGTGGAGGGGCTCGGGCGGCCTGCTGAGGAGCTGCCTTCTTGCTTCAGCCCCTGATGTCTATGAAAGGCTTGTTTTGGGGACAAATCTGCCAGAAGGTAGAAGAAAACTCAGGAAGCCGAGGGTGGCCAGGAAGTGTCCCCATAGCAGTGTGGTTAAGAGCACGAGCTCTGACCAGAACACAAAAGAACAGACCGTAGATGCCCCCGCTGAAAGACCACGACACTACTTGGGATTTTGCCAAAAGGATCAAATCTGGGTCTGATCGTGCCTCTTGACCCCACCAGCAATCTGCAGGAAATCCAGGGGCAGAGGAACACGCTGAGTCATGCCATGAGTCTGCCACCAGCAAACTCAGACTGGGAGACTCCTCAAACCGCTTGTGTTCATCAACAGATAACGTTGCAAGAAAAAGAAAGGGATGGAAGGAGAATTTGTAGCTTAAAGAAGACTTAAAAGGTATCAAATTTAAAAAAAAAGGGGGGGGGGATGGTGTTCCTGACTAAATGATAGTGTCTAGGGACGTGCATTTGGGTGAAAAAAAAAAAATCCAGAAAGAAACACAAGGGAATTATTACTATAAAAATCAGGAAAGCAGTTGCTTTTAGAGAGAGGGGGCTGTGCTTGGGAGGGGGTACAGAGAGGAGCTTCTGGGGTGTTTGGTTCTACTTCTTTTTTTTTTTTTTTTGAGACAGAGTCTTGCTCTGTTGCCGGGGCTAGAGTGCTGTGGCATCAGCCTAGCCCACAGCAACCTCAAAGTCCTGGGCTCATGCAATCCTCCTGCCTCAGCCTCCTGAGTAGCTGGGACTACAGGCATGTACTACCATGCCCAGCTAATTTTTTCTCTATAGTTGGCCATATAATTTCTTTCTATTTTTAGTAGAGATGGGGTTTCACTCTTGCTCAGGGCTGGTCTCGAACTCCTGACCTTGAGCGATCCTCCCACCTCGGCCTCCCAGAGTGCTAGGATTATAGGCATGAGCCACCATGCCTGGCCTGGTTTTACTTCTTGACCAGTAGGGTGATCACAAGGGCGTTTGCTTTATAATTCACCAAGTTGTACATTTGTTCTGTGTGATTTTTTGTTTGTCTGATTTTATAATACAAAGTCTCAAAAAACAAACAAACAAACAAACAAAAAACAAATGTAGGCTCAGGAGCTAGGTATCTTGGTTCAAATCCCAGCTCTGCCACTTATTAACTGTGCCATGTTGGGTAAATTATAACACCCTTTAAGTCTCAGTTTCCTCATCTATAAAATGAGGATGATGTTATAGGGTTGTTCTACATATTAAATAAATTAGTGTATGCGAAGCCCTCAGAAGAGTGTCTTATAATGCAGTAAGCATCATAAAAGTCTTTGCTGGGCCGGGTGCCGTGGCTCAGGCCTTTAATCCTAGCTAGCACTCTGGGAGGCCGAGGTGGGCAGATGGCTTGAGGTCAGGAGTTTGAAACCAGCCTGAGCAAGAGTGAGACCCCGTCTCTACTAAAAATAGAAATAAATTGATTTGGCCAACTAAAAATATATAGAAAAAATTAGCCGGGAATGGTGGTGCATGCCTGTAGTCCCAGCTACTCGGGAGGCTGAGGCAGGAGGATCACTTGAGCCCAGGAGTTTGAGGTTGCTGTGAGCTAGGCTGATGCCGAGGCACTCTAGCCCGGGCAACAGAGTGAGACTCTGTCTCAAAAAAAAAATGTCTTTGCTGTTTTCGTTGTTGTCATTCCCCAGTTGCTACCACTCTCTCCGTGTGTCCCCATGCCCCAGTGATTTCCTCTTGAGGAAAGGGGAGGGGAGAGTTGGGCATGGCCTTCTTTAATAAGGCTGTGGCAGAACCTATTATTGACAGTGACAAGATAATCACAGCTTAAATCTGGGAACTGGCTGTAGTCCAGAGAGTGGCTGTCTGCACTGCGTGGTCCCACAAGGCAGCCCTGATCCTGTTGTGCCTAGAGCTCAGGTTGCAGGGTGGGAATATCCCTTCACCCCCCACCCCAGAGGCCTCCTACCTGCTCCTGTTGTCCAGCTGATGCTTGTCTTTCCCAGAGAGAGAACAAAGGGTCTGAGTGTCATGATTGAGGTAGGTGTAGGCTTTGGTGTTAACGAGGACTTGGGTTCTGATCGCAGCTCTGCCATTTACGAGAGTCAAGGGATGCATGTGTATAGTGTGTACGTGGCGAGGGAGTCCGTCTTCCGTGAGCCTCACTGTCTGTTCTGAATGATAATAATAGAGTGGTTGTGAAGAAATAATCCATGTATAGTGCTTAGTGGAGGGCCTGGCTCAGG